GACGCTTTGATGCTCCCCCTGAGAGTAAATCTGTAAGGCTTGTTACCAGCATTCAGACATCAATTCTGTTTGCTTCACAGCCAGACAGGACACGGTAAAAAAAAAAAAACTAATAAAAAAGAATGGTAATTTGGCATCCCCTAGTGGTGATATGTGGTTAGCGCATCTGAAAACAGATTGCTCCCAAATGCAACGCTCCATCAGCTACAGTATCGGGCTTCCATAACCCCCTTACAAGCGCCTGCTGCTACCACTGTCAGACTTTGAAAATGTTATTTATCATCTTCAGGCATTCAATTGGACCTTTCTCTAGTGGTTAATGGTGTGAGACACAGAAAACCCATTTGGCAGATGTCCAAATATCAGGAAATAAGACTCCAAATTCTGTCATGATCAGCTCTCCTCCGAAGTTCCTAAAACAAGGGCACCTTGCTTACATATGTGCGAAAACCTCTTTTACACATGTACAAAACCTCTTTTACACATGTACAAGACCTCTTTTACACATGTACATGACCTCTTTTACACATGTACATGACCTCTTTTACACATATACATGACCTCTTTTACACATGTACATGACCTCTTTTACACATGTACAAGACCTCTTTTACACATGTACATGACCTCTTTTACACATGTACAAGACCTCTTTTACACATGTACATGACCTCTTTTACACATGTACATGACCTCTTTTACACATGTACATGACCTCTTTTACACACGTACAAGACCTCTTTTACACACGTACGTGACCTCTTTTACACACGTACGTGACCTCTTTTACACACGTACGTGACCTCTTTTACACATGTACGTGACCTCTTTTACACATGTACATGACCTTTTACACATGTACGTGACCTCTTTTACACATGTACATTACCTCTTTTACACATGTACATGACCTCTTTTACACATGTACATGACCTCTTTTACACATGTACATGACCTCTTTTACACATGTACATGACCTCTTTTACACATGTACAAAACCTCTTTTACACATGTACAAAACCTCTTTTACACATGTACAAAACCTTTTTTACACATGTACATGACCTCTTTTACACATGTACAAGACCTCTTTTACACATGTACATGACCTCTTTTACACATGTACGTGACCTCTTTTACACATGTACGTGACCTCTTTTACACATGTACGTGACCTCTTTTACACATGTACGTGACCTCTTTTACACATGTACGTGACCTCTTTTACACATGTACGTGACCTCTTTTACACATGTACGTGACCTCTTTTACACATGTACGTGACCTCTTTTACACATGTACATGACCTCTTTTACACATGTACATGACCTCTTTTACACATGTACATGACCTCTTTTACACATGTACATGACCTCTTTTACACATGTACAAGACCTCTTTTACACATGTACATGACCTCTTTTACACATGTACAAAACCTCTTTTACACATGTACATGACCTCTTTTACACATGTACAAGACCTCTTTTACACATGTACATGACCTCTTTTACACATGTACAAGACCTCTTTTACACATGTACAAGACCTCTTTTACACATGTACAAGACCTCTTTTACACATGTACATGACCTCTTTTACACATGTACATGACCTCTTTTACACACGTACATGACCTCTTTTACACACGTACATGACCTCTTTTACACACGTACATGACCTCTTTTACACACGTACATGACCTCTTTTACACACGTACATGACCTCTTTTACACACGTACATGACCTCTTTTACACACGTACATGACCTCTTTTACACACGTACATGACCTCTTTTACACACGTACATGACCTCTTTTACACACGTACATGACCTCTTTTACACACGTACATGACCTCTTTTACACACGTACATGACCACTTTTACACACGTACATGACCTCTTTTACACACGTACATGACCTCTTTTACACATGTACATGACCTCTTTTACACACGTACATGACCTCTTTTACACACGTACATGACCTCTTTTACACACGTACATGACCTCTTTTACACACGTACATGACCTCTTTTACACACGTACATGACCTCTTTTACACATGTACATGACCTCTTTTACACACGTACATGACCTCTTTTACACATGTACATGACCTCTTTTACACATGTACATGACCTCTTTTACACATGTACATGACCTCTTTTACACATGTACATGACCTCTTTTACACATGTACAAAACCTCTTTTACACATGTACAAGACCTCTTTTACACATGTACATGACCTCTTTTACACATGTACAAGACCTCTTTTACACATGTACAAGACCTCTTTTACACATGTACAAGACCTCTTTTACACATGTACATGACCTCTTTTACACATGTACATGACCTCTTTTACACATGTACATGACCTCTTTTACACACGTACATGACCTCTTTTACACACGTACATGACCTCTTTTACACACGTACATGACCTCTTTTACACACGTACATGACCTCTTTTACACACGTACATGACCTCTTTTACACACGTACATGACCTCTTTTACACACGTACATGACCTCTTTTACACACGTACATGACCTCTTTTACACACGTACATGACCTCTTTTACACACGTACATGACCTCTTTTACACACGTACATGACCACTTTTACACACGTACATGACCTCTTTTACACACGTACATGACCTCTTTTACACATGTACATGACCTCTTTTACACACGTACATGACCTCTTTTACACACGTACATGACCTCTTTTACACACGTACATGACCTCTTTTACACACGTACATGACCTCTTTTACACACGTACATGACCTCTTTTACACATGTACATGACCTCTTTTACACATGTACATGACCTCTTTTACACATGTACATGACCTCTTTTACACATGTACATGACCTCTTTTACACATGTACATGACCTCTTTTACACATGTACATGACCTCTTTTACACATGTACAAAACCTCTTTTACACATGTACAAAACCTCTTTTACACATGTACAAAACCTTTTTTACACATGTACATGACCTCTTTTACACATGTACATGACCTCTTTTACACATGTACATGACCTCTTTTACACATGTACAAGACCTCTTTTACACATGTACAAGACCTCTTTTACACATGTACATGACCTCTTTTACACATGTACGTGACCTCTTTTACACATGTACGTGACCTCTTTTACACATGTACGTGACCTCTTTTACACATGTACGTGACCTCTTTTACACACGTACGTGACCTCTTTTACACATGTACATGACCTCTTTTACACATGTACAAAACCTCTTTTACACATGTACATGACCTCTTTTACACATGTACATGACCTCTTTTACACATGTACATGACCTCTTTTACACATGTACATGACCTCTTTTACACATGTACAAGACCTCTTTTACACATGTACAAGACCTCTTTTACACATGTACAAGACCTCTTTTACACATGTACATGACCTCTTTTACACATGTACATGACCTCTTTTACACATGTACATGACCTCTTTTACACATGTACATGACATCTTTTACACATGTACAAGACCTCTTTTACACATGTACATGACCTCTTTTACACATGTACATGACCTCTTTTACACATGTACATGACCTCTTTTACACATGTACAAGACCTCTTTTACACATGTACATGACCTCTTTTACACATGTACATGACCTCTTTTACACATGTACATGACCTCTTTTACACATGTACATGACCTCTTTTACACATGTACATGACCTCTTTTACACATGTACAAGACCTCTTTTACACATGTACATGACCTCTTTTACACATGTACATGACCTCTTTTACACATGTACATGATCTCTTTTACACATGTACATGACCTCTTTTACACATGTACATGACCTCTTTTACACATGTACAAGACCTCTTTTACACATGTACATGACCTCTTTTACACATGTACATGACCTCTTTTACACATGTACAAAACCTCTTTTACACATGTACATGACCTCTTTTACACATGTACGTGACCTCTTTTACACATGTACGTGACCTCTTTTACACATGTACGTGACCTCTTTTACACATGTACGTGACCTCTTTTACACATGTACGTGACCTCTTTTACACATGTACGTGACCTCATTTACACATGTACATGACCTCTTTTACACATGTACATGACCTCTTTTACACATGTACAAAACCTCTTTTACACATGTACATGACCTCTTTTACACATGTACATGACCTCTTTTACACATGTACATGACCTCTTTTACACATGTACATGACCTCTTTTACACATGTACAAGACCTCTTTTACACATGTACAAGACCTCTTTTACACATGTACAAGACCTCTTTTACACATGTACATGACCTCTTTTACACATGTACATGACCTCTTTTACACATGTACATGACCTCTTTTACACATGTACATGACATCTTTTACACATGTACAAGACCTCTTTTACACATGTACATGACCTCTTTTACACATGTACATGACCTCTTTTACACATGTACATGACCTCTTTTACACATGTACAAGACCTCTTTTACACATGTACATGACCTCTTTTACACATGTACATGACCTCTTTTACACATGTACATGACCTCTTTTACACATGTACATGACCTCTTTTACACATGTACATGACCTCTTTTACACATGTACAAGACCTCTTTTACACATGTACATGACCTCTTTTACACATGTACATGACCTCTTTTACACATGTACATGATCTCTTTTACACATGTACATGACCTCTTTTACACATGTACATGACCTCTTTTACACATGTACAAGACCTCTTTTACACATGTACATGACCTCTTTTACACATGTACATGACCTCTTTTACACATGTACAAAACCTCTTTTACACATGTACAAAACCTCTTTTACACATGTACAAAACCTCTTTTACACATGTACAAAACCTCTTTTACACATGTACAAAACCGAATAGAACAGAATAGAATAGAATAGAATAGAATACTTACATGATTTTCTTTCGAGTAATATGACAAGGCTGGAAACCTGCCTCTGCTTCTGAACTTGGAGCTGCCCACTACGACTGGAGGAGTTGCAGACTCTGGCACGAACAGGTCAGCAGGGTAAGAGCTGCTCACCTTTTGGAATAAAAACAAAAGTCTCAGCAACTTCAGTGTTCACATCAGGTTTAACTCTCTCTGCTAAGGGTCAGATCACTGACCTTGTAGTGTTGGTTGATGGAGGACAGCTTCCACAGAGAGTTTGGAAGTCCCATCCTGCTGTAATTGGCTTTGAGATCCATGAAGGCCCAATCCTGCCGTCTCTCCTCTTCAACAATGTTAGGCTTGTAGGAGAAGCAGTACAGCTCCACAAACCTCTCTAGAACACATAGCGTCTGATGAGTAAAAGCTCCACTCTCTAGAGCCATTATGGGTGAACTCATAACCATGACAAATTTAGTCAGTCCTGCAAAGCTTTATTAAAAATATGATTACTCATAGTATTGGGCAACACATGCTGGTGAAGGTTCTCTGTCATCCAGGTGGTGGTAATCCAGAGAGGTTTGAATTAAGGCAACTGGACTTCTTCACATATGCAGTGTGTTGTAGTACAGGAAGTGGTGCTGTTGGTGTTGACACCCCTGAGCACACAGAAAGTTTGACTCTGCAGCAAGGCTTTTATTTTTAGTTCTGTGGCTTTCGTTCATTTTTTTAGTTTCGATTTCAGATTTTCAAATGTTTTTTTTTAGCTTTAAATGTTTTTTACAATTTGTTTGATATTTTAGCATAGTTTTTATTTGTTGTAAATGTTTAGCTTCAGTACAGTTTTTATTAGTTTCATTAATAATTTAGGTCCTTTTTTTAATAAGAGTTACATACCAGGGGAAAATCTGATATTTTTTATTATTCATCTCAACTGCTTAGTTCTGTCTAGGGGCGCAGGGAGCTGGTGTTCATTTCCAGCATTCATTGGGCGAGAGGTGGGGGACACCCTGGACAAGTCTCCAGTCTCCAGTCCATCACAGGACCACAGAAAGACCAACAACCAGTCACACACTCACTTACACCGATAGGTTAACTGAAAAATTGTCAGTCCTAACAAGCATGTTTTTGGTGTGTGGGAAAAGTCTGGAGCACCTTTACTCTGCAGGGGCGCCCAATACTGTATAAAATTAGCTGTGTTTATTATCGGTTTAATATCCTTTTTTTCCCACCAGTCCTGTCCTGGCAGTAGAAGCAGGCAGAATGGTTGATCCGGTTGCCATAATATACCAGAGCAGCTTTCCTCTACAGCAAGAGGGAAGTGGGAACCCAATTTGGGGTCACCAAGTCTGGAGCCTCCAGCCCAGCACACTGGCACCCCCACCAATACAGTCCATCCCAGAGTGAGCGAACCCCAAGCCCAGAGGGTCCACCTCAACTCCCCTGGTGAGGGTGGTGAATGGAGAGCACAACCTTGACGGCAAAATATGGGGTGACATGCGGCAGAGAGTCCTCCCCATTCCGGAAGCAGCCCCCAAGGCAGCAAGTGGCCCAGGATACCCGAGATCCCAAGCCAACAGCCAGCCACCCACCATGCTGCAGCACGGGCCAGGGCCTCCAGACCATTAGCCTGGCCTGCCACACTCATCCTCTGTTTAATTCTGCACAGAGAAAGAGTCTGGTTACTCACAGGCAGAGAGACACGTGAGGGGCGGGACTAGGCAACTCAAAAATAACCAATTAGAAAAAAAGACGGAAATGACACTACCGCACGACGCTGTAGTTTTTTAGCTGTTGAAAGAAAAGGCGTCTGGCAACGGCACAAACATCTTTTTTTTTAGAAGAAAGGCTTTTAGAGCTTCTACTTGTGGTTTTAAAGATATTCAGGTCATTTAGAACAGTGGTTCCTAACGTGGGGGTCCCAACCCCCACAAGGGGGCGCCAAAGCCTCTCAGTGGGTCGCCAGGACCTCTCCACTTTAAGGGGTTAAAACTTCATTTATTAATTGTTTATAGCCTACATTGTGCTCACATTTTTTTTTCATGAGTGAAAAGTTTACTGATACTAAGACAGGAAGTAATTAGTACAGAAAAAGTAACACACCTTTAAGAACATTTTGCTCAGCTCACTGTTTTACGTTCAAGTGTCAAAAGTTCATTAAAGATAGGACTGGTTGATTAATCACAGCCTTTACAGTAAATAATCTAGTATAAACAGTAATATACACATTTAAGTCAGTGTATTTTTTATGTGTCAAACGTTTATTGAAAGGAATGATTGATTTATCAGTGTTTACAAGAAACAATGTGTTCAGAAAAGTAATACAAACTGTCAAGCACACTATGCTCCGTTTGGTTTTGTTAATGACTTTGTTCTGTACTGGAGCCTACTATTACTGTTATCTATTGAATCAAAGCATATTAAAATGTGCTTGAACAATTTTATCATTTCTTAATAATGTTTGTACTGGAAGAGAGAATGGGAGGGGGTCGTCAAAAATTTTACTGGTAAAAAACGGGTCCCCTGGGAAAAAGGTTGGGAACCACTGCTTTAGAACAGAGGAAAGAGCCGCAGCAAACTCCATTTCAGTCGCCACGTTTATGACAAACTCGGCGTTGTGGTGTGTGACGTTCGCTACTCAGCGCTGATTGGCTCGGTTAGAATTCTCAGGGGGTGGGGTTATTTGATTAGGAGAGCTGTCTGACCCTTTCTCTGTGCACAATTAAACAGAGGAAGAGTCTGGCAGGCCAGGCTAGCAGACCATACCCCCACCCGGGGGCACCCATCCCCACCCATACATCTCTGCCATGGCCCCACAGGCATCTCCAGATTCTCACGCCCACCAGATCGACAGAGGGCAGAAGCAGCAGAGATGAAGCCTCCATCATCACTCACGCACAGGTGGACCAATATTGTGTGTGAATGGTCATGTAGGTCTGTGTGTGGTGATGCATATGACCAATGTGCATTAAGAGTAAGGAACACACACAAAAAGTCCTTTTTAATTATTATTTCAGATTATAATCAGTCACTTTAAGTTTTTCATGCAGGCAAGAACATGAAAATAGTCTCCTACACCTATCTGCTGCATTAGCTTCTGATAGAAAATAGACGGCGAAACGCCAGGATTAGAAAAGCCTGACAGATCTACGTCACACTCACTAAAAAGTCATGTATTACCCAATTCTGGCTCACGACGGGGAAGGCTGTTGTTGGTTTAGCGTCCACAAAACAGCAGAGAACGTCTTGACTCGTAGAAGCTAACCGTTAGCATTAGCAACTTCACCACACAGCATGACTCCTCCAGGCTTTAGGTATTTGTGGAGATAAAATATCAACGTTTCAGAGCAAACGGAGTCAGTGTTAAGGCTGTGACATACTTGGTGTTTAACAACGCAAACCCATGATTAAAATGGCTACCACGCATTACTTGCGTTGATTTGAAGCATTGTTTGTGCGCTGCCCCCGAAATTAACGCAATGCAACATGACCAAATGCTGCAATGTATGAGTAACCAGTAGGTGGAGTTGACAAAGCGAGGGAGACACACTCACCATGGTGACTGTCTCTGGTTTATGTCTCTTATTGAAGCCATTTTTGTTTGGTTGTACCCACAAACCCAGCTCTCATCAGGTCTGAGTTCTATAGTGTGCCCCTAGTGGAACACTCCAGTACTACATGCAGTGCAGTGCTGTGTAGCAGCAAGTACCTGAACAGGCCTGCTGCCTGTGCCAGTGCGGGGATAAACAGCAAACATATTCAAGGCCTTAGAGTTGTGATGCTGTTAGCCAATCGAAGGAGAGATTTCCAAATATCAGGAAATAAGACTCCAAATCCTGCCATCTGGAGCTCAACTGTGATGTGTCGCACTTCTAGTTCCTGAAACGGGTGCACTGGAGCAGTTTTTCCCCCAGGGTACGACCTAAAGAGACCGCTGCAAATGTACTGATTAAATGAGTGAATTAAACCTTTAAAACACACGTTGATACTAACTGATTTGACTTAGATTTTAACTTGACTGATTAGCTACAAAAAAAGAACAGACAGAGAACACAAAAAACAGGTAAAGCAAACGTTCCCGTTTCCGGGTTGGTTCACCGGGGTTTTTGACAATGAAAAATTGCGCCCACATTTTCAAAGTTAAACACATCTTTTAACAACGGTAGTTTTTGCATCTTTACTTTAATGAGCCGACATGAACGATCGCGTGCCAAGTTTGTTTTTGCGGTGGAGACACTTTGATAATGTTACTGCGGCCATTCTCAGGACACATCTGTCTGGAGCGCATCAACGATCAGAGCTCTGCGCCTCTCAGGTCAAAACAATCCCAAGAGAGTCCACATAGATAACATAATGTAAGTAGAACCAGGAACGTTTTCGGGCTCCCCCTGGGTGTGGAAGTTGAGGGCTTCCAAGGGAGCCTGTCACCTTTTCAGGTGAGCCGGGTTCCCTTTAGCTCACCCGTAATTCGGACCCTGCGTATAGCCCAAGTTGGTCGCATGAGTTGCCGGAACCTAGCAGATAGTTGCCGGAATGGTCCTTTCAAAATAAGACAGTTCCCGGATCTTGTTCTGGCAAGATCTGGCTCAAATTAAGCCAGGTCTACGGAAGCCCAGGTTATCAAGCAGGAAGCAAGTCAGTAAAAATCAGTTGTTGCTTTTTTTCCAGGTGTGTTGATGCTACAAAAATTGAACATAGATAAGTGCGGAAAAATATCACTAGATGCTGCAATAAGTCTGAAAGCAATTAAATCACATTTTTTGCATGTTGTATCACACACCTTGTGTGTGTTTTGCCCTCATTCTGCCATTTTTGTTTATGCAGAACTTAAAAAATATCTAAAGGGACTTTACAGAGTTTTGAATTTTTATGCTCGTGATTGCCCCCTCAGGCCAAAAGCGTAATGGCAGCTTAAATAGCAGGCTTGTGCACGATGCGTGCATGCTGTACGTGCACACTTCTTAACGAAAATAACAGCTGAGACAGTCCCTTGTGTGTGTGTGTGTGTGTGTGTGTGTGTGTGTGTGTGTGTGTGTGTGTGTGTGTGTGTGTGTGTGTGTGTGTGTGTGTGTGTGTGTGTGTGTGTGTGTGTGTGTGTGTGTGTGTGTGTGTGTGTGTGTGTGTGTGTGTGTGTGTGTCCCGGAGGACAGAGGACAGGAGAACGCGCAGCTAATTAATTAAATAATTTGGTTCTGTACCTTTCTCTTCAGCACAGCCGACAAAGGTTTATGATGGGTCAGTCCTCCTGCATGCTCAGATCATTCCCTTCCCTTGCTGGAAAAATTGTTCCAAAATGAAAGTTGAACCCACATCTTTTTTATCTGTGAATTCAATGCCGTTCGGCGAGTCTCAAATAAAAATTTGGGCATCTTACTGCAAAAAAATATACCATTAATGTAAAAAAGAAACTCTAAATAAACTATGTTCACATCAAGAATCAAACCCAGGTCTTCTGCACGAGAGTCCGACGTGTTACTAGGTGAGTTACAGCGCCAGTGACATCCTCTGTATCTGTAACATTTATATCCTTGATGACAGCTGAAACAACGTTCAAAGAACGGTTCGGAGTGAAAACGGCTATTTTGTTGCTAATTAGCAGGAAATATCTAGAAGAAAGTTCTACAGAAAGTAGCTAAGGGTCCTCAGAAATGTAGCTAGCTTTGTCACTAGGCGTTAGGAACAGCGACAAAGTGGCACTGCCTCTCTCTCTGCTGCTAAAGCTACGGATAGCAAATGCTACGGGCGATGCCTGAGCGTGAACGCGCATGAAGCAGCCTGCTCGACCCGAGCATCTCTCTTTTTCTGTGATTTTACAGAAAAACAGGCAATCACAGTAAAAATGCCAGGGCTCATTCTACAGGACCAGGGCATTGCAGGAGAATGAATGAAGAAGACATTTATTATTTCTATACATGTTTTGGCTGTCACACTTCCATAATGCCCCTTTAAGATGCACAAGTCCAGCCTTCAAAAGGAAATGAAGTGAGTTATCACTTTGAAAGCAATAATTAAAACAAATAATTTTAAACATATATTTGGCGCTAGAATTCAGGTGGATTATCTGCACATGCAGAGGCTTAAAAGGCAAGGAGGTAAAATCAGAATCACTCTTAGTTTTCAGGCTTAGCTGACAGAACAGCTCACCAGGGTGGGAGAGACGCTGCAGAGACAGGTAAACATCATGGCAGTCTGGTTCTCTGGGGATGCTGAAGAGCAGAACTTGGAAGTTCTTACAGCGAACAAGCAGAGGGCATCCTGAGGAGGTGGTGGTCTGCTTCTCCACGCTGCACACCAAACTGTGAAGCACCTGAAGGAAAGCACACCACGTGACCATGAAGTGACTGAATTCTGGTTCTTTCAGAGTTTTAATGAGCTGATTTGTACCCATGTTTCACTGCGCAGTCCTGTGTCACTCTCCACGAAGATGCTGTGTGTGGCTGTCAGATAAAGGATGCCCACTCTGCTCCTCCCGGGTGAGACTTTATCCAGCAACCTCACATTCTCCACCTGGAAGGAGACATCATCGTGAGGAACAGCTGTGGCCTCTTCCTCGGAAGCACAACATCTGTGCAGATGTTTAAACTGCACTGATAGGTGAAAGGATCTGCTCTGCCAACGTGGCCGCCGCAGCACACGCACGCCCTTAGGACAGAACCCTTTTTCACTTCCCCGTTTTTAGTTAGTCTGGTTGAAGTAAGCTACAACAGCCAATCACTGCAGTCGTTTACCTTTGGTAGCCGGATGTGCTCCATCAGCAGCTGCTGAGCGTGTTGGAGTAATTACCGAGCATCCAGCAGCACGTGAGCTGTGCTGTTTACCTGCTGTGCAGCAGGCTGGCGTTAGCTAGGCTCTCAGGCTGGCGTTAGCTCTCAGGTAGGCAGACCTCATTTAGCCTGCTTCCTTCTGCGCGGCTCCGCGGGGTCCTAGAGCCCGCCGCTTTGCAGAGGATGTGCACACGCGACCCTACACAATACCTGCCCCCGCTCCAGGAAATATACCCGACCCTGGATCCTACACAGTACATGCCCCCGCTCCAGGTAATATACCCGACCCTGGATCCTACACAGTACCTGCCCCCGCTCCAGGAAATATACCCGACCCTGGATCCTACACAATACCTGCCCCCGCTCCAGGAAATATACCCGACCCTGGATCCTACACAATACCTGCCCCCGCTCCAGGAAATATACCCGACCCTGGATCCTGCACAGTACATGCCCCCGCTCCAGGTAATATACCCGACCCTGGATCCTACACAGTACCTGCCCCCGCTCCAGGTAATATACCCGACCCTGGATCCTACACAATACCTGCCCCCGCTCCAGGTAATATACCCGACCCTGGATCCTACACAGTACATGCCCCCGCTCCAGGTAATATACCCGACCCTGGATCCTACACAGTACATGCCCCCGCTCCAGGTAATATACCCGACCCTGGATCCTACACAGTACCTGCCCCCGCTCCAGGTAATATACCCGACCCTGGATCCTACACAATACCTGCCCCCGCTCCAGGAAATATACCCGACCCTGGATCCTGCACAGTACCTGCCCCCGCTCCAGGTAATATACCCGACCCTGGATCCTACACAGTACCTGCCCCCGCTCCAGGTAATATACCCGACCCTGGATCCTACACAGTACCTGCCCCCGCTCCAGGTAATATACCCGACCCTGGATCCTACACAGTACCTGCCCCCGCTCCAGGTAATATACCCGACCCTGGATCCTGCACAATACCTGCCCCCGCTCCAGGTAATATACCCGACCCTGGATCCTGCACAGTACATGCCCCCGCTCCAGGTAATATACCCGACCCTGGATCCTACACAGTACATGCCCCCGCTCCAGGTAATATACCCGACCCTGGATCCTACACAGTACATGCCCCCGCTCCAGGTGATATACCCGACCCTGGATCCTACACAGTACCTGCCCCCGCTCCAGGTAATATACCCGACCCTGGATCCTACACAGTACCTGCCCCCGCTCCAGGTAATATACTTGACCCTGGATCCTACACAGTACCTGCCCCCGCTCCAGGTAATATACTTGACCCTGGATCCTACACAGTACCTGCCCCCGCTCCAGGTAGCATACCCGACCCTGGATCCTACACAGTACCTGCCCCCGCTCCAGGTAATATACCCGACCCTGGATCCTACACAGTACCTGCCCCCGCTCCAGGTAATATACCCGACCCTGGATCCTACACAGTACCTGCCCCCGCTCCAGGTAATATACCCGACCCTGGATCCTACACAGTACCTGCCCCCGCTCCAGGTAATATACCCGACCCTGGATCCTACACAGTACATGTCCCCGCTCCAGGTAATATACCCGACCCTGGATCCTACACAGTACATGCTCCCGCTCCAGGTAATATACCCGACCCTGGATCCTACACAGTACATGCCCCCGCTCCAGGTAATATACCCGACCCTGGATCCTACACAGTACCTGCCCCCGCTCCAGGTAATATACCCGACCCTGGATCCTACACAGTACATGCCCCCGCTCCAGGTAATATACTTGACCCTGGATCCTACACAGTACCTGCCCCCGCTCCAGGTAATATACCCGACCCTGGATCCTGCACAGTACCTGCCCCCGCTCCAGGTAATATACTTGACCCTGGATCCTACACAGTACCTGCCCCCGCTCCAGGTAATATACCCAACCCTGGATCCTACACAGTACCTGCCCCCGCTCCAGGTAGCATACCCGACCCTGGATCATGCACAGTACATGCCCCCGCTCCAGGTAATATACCCGACCCTGGATCCTACACAGTACCTGCCCCCGCTCCAGGTAATATACCCGACCCTGGATCCTACACAGTACATGTCCCCGCTCCAGGTAATATACCCGACCCTGGATCCTACACAGTACATGCTCCCGCTCCAGGTAATATACCCGACCCTGGATCCTACACAGTACATGCCCCCGCTCCAGGTAATATACCCGACCCTGGATCCTACACAGTACCTGCCCCCGCTCCAGGTAATATACCCGACCCTGGATCCTGCACAGTACCTGCCCCCGCTCCAGGTAATATACCCGACCCTGGATCCTACACAGTACATGCCCCCGCTCCAGGTAATATACCCGACCCTGGATCCTACACAGTACCTGCCCCCGCTCCAGGTAATATACTTGACCCTGGATCCTACACAGTACCTGCCCCCGCTCCAGGTAATATACTTGACCCTGGATCCTACACAGTACCTGCCCCCGCTCCAGGTAATATACTTGACCCTGGATCCTACACAGTACCTGCCCCCGCTCCAGGTAATATACTTGACCCTGGATCCTACACAGTACCTGCCCCCGCTCCAGGTAATATACCCGACCCTGGATCCTACACAGTACCTGCCCCCGCTCCAGGTAGCATACCCGACCCTGGATCCTGCACAGTACATGCCCCCGCTCCAGGTAATATACCCGACCCTGGATCCTACACAGTACCTGCCCCTGCTCCTGGTAATATACCCGACCCTGGATCCTACACAGTACATGCCCCCGCTCCAGGTAATATACCCGACCCTGGATCCTACACAGTACATGTCCCCGCTCCAGGTAATATACCCGACCCTGGATCCTACACAGTACATGCTCCCGCTCCAGGTAATATACCCGACCCTGGATCCTACACAGTACATGCCCCCGCTCCAGGTAATATACCCGACCCTGGATCCTACACAGTACCTGCCCCCGCTCCAGGTAATATACCCGACCCTGGATCCTACACAGTACATGCCCCCGCTCCAGGTAATATACTTGACCCTGGATCCTACACAGTACCTGCCCCCGCTCCAGGTAATATACCCGACCCTGGATCCTGCACAGTACCTGCCCCCGCTCCAGGTAATATACTTGACCCTGGATCCTACACAGTACCTGCCCGCGCTCCAGGTAATATACCCGACCCTGGATCCTACACAGTACCTGCCCCCGCTCCAGGTAATATACCCGACCCTGGATCCTACACAGTACCTGCCCCCGCTCCAGGTAGCATACCCGACCCTGGATCATGCACAGTACATGCCCCCGCTCCAGGTAATATACCCGACCCTGGATCCTACACAGTACCTGCCCCCGCTCCAGGTAATATACCCGACCCTGGATCCTACACAGTACATGCCCCCGCTCCAGGTAATATACCCGACCCTGGATCCTACACAGTACCTGCCCCCGCTCCAGGTAATATACCCGACCCTGGATCCTACACAGTACCTGCCCGCGCTCCAGGTAATATACCCGACCCTGGATCCTACACAGTACATGCTCCCGCTCCAGGTAATATACCCGACCCTGGATCCTACACAGTACATGCCCCTGCTCCAGGTAATATACCCGACCCTGGATCCTGCACAGTACCTGCCCCCGCTCCAGGTAATATACTTGACCCTGGATCCTACACAGTACCTGCCCGCGCTCCAGGTAATATACCCGACCCTGGATCCTACACAGTACCTGCCCCCGCTCCAGGTAATATACCCGACCCTGGATCCTACACAGTACCTGCCCCCGCTCCAGGTAGCATACCCGACCCTGGATCCTGCACAGTACATGCCCCCGCTCCAGGTAATATACCCGACCCTGGATCCTACACAGTACCTGCCCCCGCTCCAGGTAATATACCCGACCCTGGATCCTACACAGTACATGCCCCCGCTCCAGGTAATATACCCGACCCTGGATCCTGCACAGTACCTGCCCCCGCTCCAGGTAATATACTTGACCCTGGATCCTACACAGTACCTGCCCCCGCTCCAGGTAATATACCCGACCCTGGATCCTACACAGTACCTGCCCCCGCTCCAGGTAATATACCCGACCCTGGATCCTACACAGTACCTGCCCGCGCTCCAGGTAATATACTTGACCCTGGATCCTACACAGTACCTGCCCGCGCTCCAGGTAATATACCCGACCCTGGATCCTACACAGTACCTGCCCCCGCTCCAGGTAATATACCCGACCCTGGATCCTACACAGTACCTGCCCCTGCTCCAGGTAGCATACCCGACCCTGGATCATGCACAGTACATGCCCCCGCTCCAGGTAATATACCCGACCCTGGATCCTACACAGTACCTGCCCCCGCTCCAGGTAATATACCCGACCCTGGATCCTACACAGTACATGCCCCCGCTCCAGGTAATATACCCGACCCTGGATCCTACACAGTACCTGCCCCCGCTCCAGGTAATATACCCGACCCTGGATCCTACACAGTACCTGCCCGCGCTCCAGGTAATATACCCGACCCTGGATCCTACACAGTACATGCTCCCGCTCCAGGTAATATACCCGACCCTGGATCCTACACAGTACATGCCCCTGCTCCAGGTAATATACCCGACCCTGGATCCTGCACAGTACCTGCCCCCGCTCCAGGTAATATACTTGACCCTGGATCCTACACAGTACCTGCCCCCGCTCCAGGTAATATACCCGACCCTGGATCCTACACAGTACATGCCCCCGCTCCAGGTAATATACCCGACCCTGGATCCTGCACAGTACCTGCCCCCGCTCCAGGTAATATACTTGACCCTGGATCCTACACAGTACCTGCCCCCGCTCCAGGTAATATACCCGACCCTGGATCCTACACAGTACCTGCCCCCGCTCCAGGTAATATACCCGACCCTGGATCCTACACAGTACCTGCCCGCGCTCCAGGTAATTTACCCGACCCTGGATCCTACACAGTACATGCTCCCGCTCCAGGTAATATACCCGACCCTGGATCCTACACAGTACATGCCCCTGCTCCAGGTAATATACCCGACCCTGGATCCTACACAGTACCTGCCCCCGCTCCAGGTAATATACCCGACCCTGGATCCTACACAGTACCTGCCCCCGCTCCAGGTAATATACCCGACCCTGGATCCTACAC